GAGGGGCCGCCCCGCGCACTGAATCGTTCTTCATCTGTCTTGTCCGTTTCTTTTACAGGATGAAGCAGGAATCCCAGGTATACTAGTTGGAGTTTCTGTAGATGGAAAGGAAGTGTGGTCAGAAGGTTAGTAGGTGGGGGTCATCGTTGTGCGCGCTGTCGGGGGGGTGGTGGATGTCTCAAAAATGAACCGTTTGGACACAGTGAGCAGGCTGGGATTTCATCCCCTTCATGGCCAGGTGCCTAGGGATTCTGAAGTGATACTTTCCTTGTTAAACTTCAGTGATTTCCAGGAATCGATAATCTGTTGACTTCCTGAATGCGCTAGTGTATCTCGACAGTTATGTTCAAGAACGTTTCTTCCATTAGTTTGTCAGATTGGTCTTTGAAAATACACTGTAGGCATACAGCTGTACAGTGGTGTGGTGGAATTGTGTATGGGAAGTAAAGAACTGTTCCCCCCACAGGTACTTAATTAATAGTCTGAGTAATAATGGCTCATGTTTGGTGATCTGTCTCCCATCTATGGGCTGAGGTGGAGATTTTTACTGAGAAGGTACTGAGACTTAACAGGTGCCATCCTTTCAGAAATTACATGTGATTTTGCTGGTTACGCAGTTCAGTTTTAAATGGAGTCTGGTGGTACTGCTCATATCATGTAGGCATTTGGTTTTTATTTAAAAAAAAAAACACCAAACTGTGTGTCTCTTTTCAGAAACATTTTCATAATGTGTTTTGGGTTTTTTTGACAACTTAAATGGTAGTAGTAAATGGCAACACATTTCATTAATGTGTTACAGAATTTGAAAAAAAAAAATCTGTGTAAGTAAGATTGTTACTCACTTACTTCTGACAATCCGTTGTTGCATGAACTCATATATATGTATCAAGCTGATTATAGATTTTCATTTCTCTTCCATCATGACAGAAGTGAGTTGGAGAGCCTCTGGTGCTTTTTGTAATGTGGCCTAATAAGAAAATTGTGCTAGAAACTTAATCACAGACTTTGTCAAATCGGATAGCTTTTTCTTATCTCAAATTACCTAGCAATGAAAGCAGAAGTTTTTATAAGACTTCTGCAGAATCTTTTCCTTGATGTGCAGGGAAGTGACTGAGGGAACTAGAGCCAGGGTTGTTGTTTATCACTGGGCCTGTCAGATCCAGTAGCAAGACAACTCCATGTGGGAGCATAAGCCATGGCAGAGCTTTCTGCACCCTGATGCATGTGGATGCAGAGAACAGCACTGCCTAGAGTAAGGCAGCAGGGAGGCGGGCAACGTTGCTCTAGCAGACTTCTGGCTCATTTTGTTGTCCTCCCTTCTTCATGGGGGTGGAAAATAGGAAGAGGCGTAAGTTGCATGTATTCTGTGACCATTATACTAAACCTGCGTTTTGGCTAAACTGATGGGAGTGATTTGAGATTTAGATGATGTTTTCACTGACAGGTACAGCATCTGCGTTCACGAGCACCATGCAAACACTTGAGCAACTTTACATAAAAGAAAGGGTCTTGAGCAACTGACACGTCATCCATTTTGTTTCTTGTATTTTGGCAAGGTTTTTTTCCTGAGTAGTTCATTATTTATTAGACTACAGTATTACATACACAGACATGCATTGTGTGCAGGCCTTGCTTTTACTGAACACTGCAAATATCTCATCACTGCATTTCTTTGCTTTTTATGCTGCAACATCACATGCACAGGTTCTTCAAACCTAGCTCAAACTGAAGACTAGTATGGGAGTTTGGTCATGCCTAATTAATTCCAGTTCTTGCTGTCAGACTTGTGGGCTGGTTTTGTAGGAGAACACTGGCATGAAGACTATTAAGCTGTCTTTTAATTGAAGTCATGCTGAGTGATATTGAAGCATAATGTATAACACTGCTGCTTTGTGAAGCTTTACAGCTTAGGTAGTTGCTGTGAGTTTGTGAGTGATTTCCTTTCTCAGTTTCTGTATTAATAAAATAAGACCCTTTACTGTTCCAACCATCAATTCAGAACAATAAGAGGACTATTTATGACTGTTAGTCAGGTATTTTACAGTCTAGATTTTGGTCTGTTTAGTTTTTCTACATTGAATATTTGACCTCAGCAGTGTAAATTTTGGCTTAATCTTCAGTCTCATTTATCATTATGGTTTTTTTGTAGTTTTAATCAGTAACTTGGAATGTCATTGGTCAATACAATGGGCTTTAATTAACTGTTCCTACTACAGTAAAATGTTATTAACTTAATTGAAGCAGGAGCAGGGATAGTCCAATGTCTCATGTCCCAGTTTAGCTAGAGGAAAAACATCTTAAGGAGCCAGTAAATCTAATTCATTGCAAATAATTAATTTGGCATGTCTCTGTGCAAAATATTTACCACCGTGTTTTTATTTTCTTAAAGGTTTGGGTTATGCTGATGTAGAGAATCGTGTACTATGTAAGCCAGAGACCATCATGCGAATTGCTAGTATTAGCAAGTGTCTTACGATGATGGCTGTTGCTAAATTGTGGGAAGAGGGAAAACTGGATTTAGATGCTCCAGTGCAGAAATATGTCCCTGAATTTCCAGAAAAAGTCTACGAGGGTGAAAAGGTAGGTAACTGTTTATTGGTAACATTTTTGGATTTCTGTTCCTGTCATTGCACAGCCATGTGTGTACAGATGCCTGTATCTGGACCTATTCCTATAAAACACCAAAAATCATTTAAACAAGTGCTGACGTTTGCTGCTCGAAAAAGCAGCGCTCGAAACTTGGATCTTCAGTTTTATATCAAGTGTGTGGTGTGTGCATATATATGTAAATTTTTTAACTGGGTTGAATACGTTATGTTTAAAAGATTCAGTATCTTTGTTCCTCATCATGTTGAATTTTACTTTTCTGGTGATTTAGTCTGCATCATGTCTTTAATGAAGAGGGATCACATTTAAATCTTGTCCTTTCTACCTAGGTTGCTATTACTACAAGGCTGTTAGTTTCACACTTGAGTGGCATTCGTCACTATGAAAAAGATATTACAAAAGTAAAGGAAGAAAAGGAAAAGGCAAACAGAGCTCTTAAACCAATGACAACCTATCAGGATAAAAAACAAAAAGAAGAAAAAGAGATTGAAAAGACTGATTCTGTCAAACCGAGGAAAGAACAGGAAGGTGAAGGAAAAAGCCGGAGTTCAAAACCTGGCAGGAGAGACAAGGAATTTGAGCAAGAAGAGTATTATTTGAAGGAAAAATTTGAAAGTGTGATCGAATCACTGAAGATATTTAAAAATGATCCTTTATTCTTTAAACCAGGTGAGTTTCTGGTAATTTAGACCAAAATTTGCTCTTCTGGTCAAAATTTTGTTTCAAATTGTTACACATGCAGTGAGAATAGTAGAATCCAGTAAAGTGTTTGTGTGGGGTTTTTGTTCTGCTTTTCCCCCACCCTGCTTTTTTTTTTTTTTTTTTTTTCTTCTTGTACCCTAGTAAAAGTTCAACAGAGAAGTGTTTGGACTTTTCTGCAGAAACCATCTGGTCATGTAATTATCTTAAAACTGATGTAACTTTTGAAGATTGAACTGATGAGGATTTTATCAGTTCAATTTTAGATAAGTCTTTTATAGATATGTTTACCAATCTAATGATTTAAATAATTGTGCTTATATAGATACCTTCTTATGGTGTATCTGCACCATAATCCAGCAGGTTCAAGATGTAAGAGTCCTAGATAATGCAGGGTAAAAGAAAAGAGAAAGTGGGACCTCAGGTAGAAATGAGACTTTTCTCCCAGAATCTCTAAGTAATGCAGTAAGTGCTATGAAATGTACCAGTTACTAATTTATAAATGCTAAAACAGATTATAATTTTGGTAACAAATTTCTATCTACAGAATATTTTGTAAGTGGATACCAACTTGCTGTATTCATGCTCTAAGCCTTCTAGATAGGAACCAAAAGCAAGAAATTTGAGTGAGGCACTAAACCAGAGCTAAAAAGTTCTACAGAAAGACCATAGAATCACCATATTGTTGAGGTTATTTATTGTTGGAATTATTTAAGGTAATTTATGAGAGGACTTTGAGGAACTTCAGGTGTAACTTCATAAAGAGTTAGGTTAACAGGCAAGTGATGCACATAGCTGATAAACAGTAAATAATGTGCATTTACGGGGAGAGGGGTAGGAGGGTTAGCAGTTACCCACTTACCATCTTGTAGAGTTCTAGGAACCATTTCAATTGAGAGATCTGTCTTGACTGTAGGAAATTCAGCAGTTGCTTGATATGTAGATGTTTCATAAGAGGTGTTAGCGCAAGAATGAGATTTTAAAAAATGAAACATTTTGTACGTAAATTATGTTGTCTTAAATAATACACATTTTAGTGTTCATATAATCTTTCAGGATATTCTAGAACTAGAAAACTAGAACTAGAAACATTATGATAAAAGTGATCAAGACCTTTGAAAACCTTGAGTGAGTACTGCCCTTGTCTTTCCATCTCTAGAGTATAGACACACAAAAACATCCCAGTAGGTGAGCGTCTTTTAAGAGGTAGTTTTATGGCTTGCTTCAGTTTTCCGAATCCAGACATCCTTGTTAGAACTGGCATGGTAAATCTTGTGGAAAGGATGTTAAATGTCAGTCTTCACATCTTGGCGTGATACCTGGCTGTACGTGCAGATCCCTGAAAACTTGCTTAGCGCTGTTCTCAGAGCTCCCTGTGCTTAGCGAGCATCTGTATCTGCTGCAGTACAGAAATTCCTAGGGGCCAGTATCAGAAGCTTGTGATTCACACCATATTAAAATGGAGGTGGAGGGAAACATCTTTTAATTGATTATTCATTGCTATATATAATTTTATTTGCACGTGTGATTACTTAAATTTTATCCTTCAGATTCCATTTCAGCATCATGTGGCTAACTTTTTTTTTTCCCCCACTTTCTCATTGTGTTTCTTCAAGGTAGCCAGTTCTTGTATTCAACGTATGGCTTTACTCTCTTAAGCGCTGTTGTGGAGAGAGTTTCAGGACAAAAATTTACAGATTATATGCTAAAAATGTTTCGTGATTTGGATATGCTATCAACTGTACTAGATGACAATGAAGCAATGATATATAACAGAGCAAGGTAAACAAGGATGGAACTTTTCTTTTCCACAACAGTTGTTGCTCTTTTTATCTTTATTAAGCCAACTGAATTAAGCATGTGTGAATTTTTTTTTTTTTAATTTTTTTTTTTCAGGCTTTTAAATTAAGTGGCTGAGGTTATTTCCAAGTTAGTCATGTAACCGATTTTGTGTGAGCATTATGGTATTGCTTCTGTGATTAGCATGTAAAATTACAGAATAGGAAATAAGTGTTTCCTGTTATAATAGGGGGATTGGGGGGAGTGGCAGGGGTGACTTTGAAGTTTGCGTTTATTTTGGGTACAAATAAGAAGGTAAGTGTTAATAGAGTAAAATAAAGGAGCAACTAGGAGAATGTTAGAATATGTATTTACGTTGGTTTGCTTAATATACTGACTTTTTAAGAGTTCTGTAGAATTGTAATAGTCTCACAGTAATACAAGGTTTTAGTAAATTAAATTGTAATATTAATTTTAACCAGAATTAAAATTCTTTTATAAACTGAAATATGGTAGAGATGAAAGAACTGGGACAGATGCTGTTTTGGGGGTCTTCTTACTGGCTCCACATTCCCTTCCCCCCCCCCATTTTCTTTTTGTGGTTCCTTTTCACAACTCTCCAAGTAGTACATGGACCTCTGGTGGTCTAAAGGCTAAAGACTGGAAGTCATCAGATGATATATAGTCATTCAGCATTCCTTTTCATATCTTGTATAAAGTCATGATTGGACTGTTTATTTCAAAAGCTAATTCGGTCTGCACTCGTGTTGTTCTGATATCTGATAGTTCATTTTGTGATTCTGGTATTCTAATTTGTATTTTAATGACAGGTTTTGCAAGACTCTTTCATGCTTGTCACTTGTCTGAGTAGTTTCAGAATATTCAGTTGTTGTAATATAAGGCAACTGTAATGGGGCAGTGGGGGGAAGTCAGTCATGAATGGAAACTACTGTCTCGGAGCAGTCACCTAGGACTTCAGTGAAATGTCACCTCAGTGTCCAATAATCATGGGGTAGTTGCAGGATTCCTCTTTCTTAAAACACTTTAAATCTAGTACAGGGATTTAAGAAAAATGCTGTCCTGGCTGATCTATAGATTTCTGTCACATCTCTTACTTGTATATTGCCTTTACTCATGGTATACCGTAAGAGTAAGTAAAAGGTTTAGTACTTTTATTGAAACTAAGATTGTAACCTAAGAAGTTACCTTGTTTGGTTCCCCCCCCCCCCCGCTCTGCGTTATTCTTTTT